GCATAATGTCATTTTAGTGGGAGTGGCAGTTCTGTTCCTGTATTCATTCCCGTATCTTCTCATGCCATTCTACACTACAGGTCACGGGGCAGTTGTTGTAGGCGTGGTCAAAGGGAGTGCCCTCGAGCAGAAACTAAGTCCCGGTATTTCACTGATTCAAGTAAACGCATGTCCCCTATCCTATGTTGCTGATTGGGGTTCTTGTTTGGAGGGTGTCGGAAGCCATTCACAAAAAGGTTACTGCGTTTCTGAGGATTTCCTGTCTCAATATAAGCTCCACCCACTAAACAAGACGAAAGAGGAGGAAGAGGGAGGAAGGGATTGTTGTAGTCTCGACAAAAAGGACAGCCATCTTTGCTTCTCTCTTTCGTTTCGTAAAAGAAATCAAGTCAATCCCGAAAATCGTTTTACTTGCTTGCGAGCGAGGAGCATCGTCGCGGACGGGACATGCGTAACCAATGACGACTGCTCCGCTATCCAATCAAACTCCCTCTGCGTCACTCCGGCAATCGGGAGCCAGACTTACCTAATAAAAATACGCCACACGAGCCTGGGGGACCCGATATTATACCTGGGGGGTCTGGAACAGCTCAAACACAGCATCATGCTATCAGACTATCATCCTTCCCATTCTTCAATTCCTCTATGGCTCCCTGGTTCATTACATACACTGTGTATATATATAGCATCAATATCTGGAGCTCTGGCAGTCCTCAATATAATACCAGCTTATGCTTTGGATGGTCATTGGACCCTTATTGCACTGTTAGAGTATCTGATGCCTGAGAATGCTTATAGAACGAAGATTAGTAATGTCATATTATTGATTGGTAGCTCCCTTTTATTGTGTAATGTACTGTCAGCCATTTGGATTTTAATGTATTGGTGAAGAAAATATTTAAAGAAATATTTATTTTATTACTAATTTTGTAATGAAAGACATTGTTGAACGTTATTTTTTTCTGCTGCAAGCATGGGGGATTGATAAAAATTGCTACCACTTGGAGTATACATAGCTTTGGACGCTCTCTTTAGTTAATTTTTCTTATTCTTATAATCATGAGATTAAATATGAAAGTTTAACATAAGTAACAGTCTCGGAACCAATCCTTCCTTCTCCTCAAACGGACAACTCTTTTATCATCTTAATCAATCTTTTAGTTTCAGTTGCATAATTGACCGGTTGTACAGTCACACATGAACACCTCAACCTCTGCTCATCCTACAAGCAGTAAAAATAGCAGCATAAAAATATTCTTGTATAACTTTGTATATTTTTGTATACTACAAACAATACCTTTGATGTACACATATAGTTTAGGGTGTATATAGTATACTTCAGTAAATTCTAGTATACTTACATTATAAGTGTCCACTTTAGCCCTGACCCTAAAAATGAATTCCTTGAAGTAAGCTTCTTGCATGATGTTATCAAACTGAGCTGCATCCTAAAAATGAATTAATAAAAATAAAATAATAATAATAATAAATGATTTTTTGCAATAGGATTATAACAATTTCTATTCCTCTTCCTTCTCTCCCTTTCTCTTCTCATTACTTGTTCTCTCAATTCTCCCAATTTCTGTCCGTCCATTCCCACAATGGCCGACCCTCCTTCGTGAAACGTATCCAGCCAGCAATTATCCAAATAGTCCACACAATTTAACTAATAGAAAAAGAAATAGTTTTAAAAGTAAATGTGCCCAAGCAAACCTTCATGATCACTCTGTATTTGAAAGATGGGTAGCTTTTACCGCATTTCTCACAGAAATAGTTTCCAGTTCCATCGTCATTGACTTTCTTGTTGCAATCCTGACTTGGACAAGCCTAAAGTTAATAAACAGAGAATTGTATAATTTGTAATATCATTAGTCAGTCAGTACCGTATAGAGACAGTTCTCTTTTTTAAGGTAAACAATCATTCCTTTGCAACTAAAGTAGTCTGGCTTTTCCTGCTGACCTAACTGATTAAGCTCCTTAATCTGAAGATAGAGAAAAAGAAAAAGGAGGAGAAAAGGTGTACATAAAATAATATTAGCATTAAACTATACTAGTACTTGTCTAAAAGTCAAGAAAGCACTATCAGAAAAGCTACCAGTTGCATTACGAGAGGACAGACTTGTAACATCCTGATCTTTACCATGATGATCATACCTGCACATACAAAAAGACATAAAGTATGTATGTATACATGTAATACACAGTAAGATGCCCTTCTTAAAATCTATTGCTATATCATCCTTTATTCTTCCTTCCCTCCTTCTCTTACCATCCTTTGAGTTGATGTGCCTCAGGTAGATCAGGGTTTGTGAGTATCGTTGATGACGCAAGAGCTGACAGTGAGACTCCATTGAAGTCAGAGAGTCGGACACTCTTTAGAGCTACCACTGGAAACATTGAGCCATCAAACTCTTCCGCCTGGTAAAACAAAAAAAAAGAAAAAAATGCATGATGAATATAAAAAATA